GTTGTTAGTGGAGTGGCAAAGCGTGAGCGCGACGGTACAATCGTTACAATAAGTAGGGCCTTACAAATAGACCGGTGTGTGCAACTCGAAAGTGTCGGCATACTGTATTCGGGTTGTACATGTATGCACGCAAACATACATACATATATACATACATACAAAAAAAGCAACAGAAAGTGAATGTAAAAATGGAATCAGAGTGCCAAATTTTTAAATTTAATTTTTATTGATTTAATTAATTTTTTTTTATAGTTTTAAAGAATGCCTTTTAATGTTTTTACAACGATGTCGTTAAACCTGACAGCTGTGACCGTGAATTAGATTTCGAACTAAGCAAAAAAAAATTAGAAAAACTTAAATCCTTTGGAATTTAAAATTTGCCATTAAACTTTTATTTTAATTATAAAATTATACATTCTCGTACATACATATGCATATGTACATGTGTATATAGGAGTTAAACTTCTGCTAACCAAAAATAATTTCGAATTATCGTTGGCAACAAAATATTATTGAATTCAATTTTTTTATTATGCTAAAATGTGTTTATAAAACCAAGTTAAAGCTTACTGTACCATATTTATTAGTTTGTTTCATTGTTATTATTGGCAAGATATATACATACAACATACATGTGTGGCAACAGCGCAGAACAGCCAGTAACGCGTTATTACATAAGCATTCCGGGCGCCAAAGCCACAATATTTTACAACAATATAACTTGCTTAAGAACTACAACAACAATGCGCTGAGATGACAAAAATCGCAAATAGAACTATAAAAGCGCATTGCGCAAAATTTCACAATATCCAGTTACGCTGTTTCAAACGACATATCGCACCAACACAACAAGCATTCACAGAAAATTATCTTTTAAGGTTAAAAAGTACAACACATTGTAAAATGACAAAAATAACTTAATAACCGTGAAAATGCTTTTCTAAAAATCTCTTACGAGCAGTTAAGCGCTTCCATATTTCACATTGCCGCAAAACAACAATAGTTTACCACAATTTCCCTTTTTTTACAATAATAACACATACAAAATACCTCAACTTTTAAGCTTAAAAAGTACAACAACAAAGCGCACAAATCTCTAAAGCAAAAAAAAAAAAAAAAAAAAAATACTAAACATAAAACCGAATAACTGAAAATTTTACAATATCTTATTAAGCTGTTTTATGTGCTGTTAACACACTGTATGTATGTGAGCATATACATAAATATATATATAACAATTTAAAGTAACCAGGAACTTGATATTGCCCCCGCCCCACATAAATAAGTTTGCAACAAAAAATGCTCAGGTGTACTCAGGTGCTATAAATAGTCCCTGTGATAGTACAAATTGAATATTGAATAACAGATTTAATTCTTGTTGCTTCACATGTGGCATACAAACATAAATAAATGTAGTATTTTGGTATTATTTTTATATGCAACAATATTTTTTGTAATTTTTTTTTTAAGCCGCGTTAAACTAATACCTTTGCACAATATTTAAACAAGACACAATTTAAAAGCTATAAAAATTCGTTAAATGGCATTAGTATGCCAAATAGTTGTAAGTGCGTTTTATACATACATATTTACAGTGTTGAAACATTCCATAAAGCGTTAAAACGTTTTTTAAATGACATACCAACTAATACATGCCTACTTATACAATTATATATAACAATATACAAACTAAATATATATTAAATGAAAGTATGTGGTACATATATAAATATAGTTGCCTATAGACATACATATATATATATATATAAGAAATTGCATATACAGCATACAGCAACAAACTCAGTGAAAAAAAGCTTCAAATTTGATCCTTTTCTTATTAAGAAATAATATTTATATCTATAGTTACATGCATATACATATATGCATGCAGCGAGTAGCAAGTAGCGAGTAGTACGCCACAACAGTTTTCACATGGCAAGTCAATTTGTTTGTGATATAGCCGACGAACATATATTACTACGCAGGCATAGTAGAGAAAATGCGAAAAGACAGGTGGTTAGACAAAAGACAAATAAACAATAATAATTATTGATAAAAAATAATTTACAAAAATTAAAATAATACATGATACACAATATAATAATGAGAAAAAAAACTAAAATTTAAATAAAAATAAAAAAAATAATAATAACAATAAAAACAAATAATTTAATATAAAAGACAAAAGCCAACATGCAGTGCGTGACCTTTGACCTTTGATATAAGGTTACTACGCATATAAATACTTTATAGACATATATACACACATATATATTTATATGTAATTTTAATGTTATAACATTTTACCTCAGTTATATCCGCAAGTGTATTATCCAAGAAATTGAAAGTTGTGAAAAAAGAGGAAAATTCAAGGTTACACTCGTTTTTTTTTTTATCATAGCAAAGCCGAATTTTGGATATACAACGCAGATTCAGACTAACAAGACAACAGTTGTACGCAACTTTTAATATTTATGTGTAGGTGTGCACGTAACTGTATAGTCAGAGAAACATGTGAAAAAAAAAAAAAAATAGTATATAGTAAGTCATAATTAATAACGGTATTTATATGCATATTTGACCACATACATTCCTCCAAAATGCATATAATAGAAAAATACTGTTATTTTATATATATGCATTAGTGTAGTATAGCGTAAATGTTAGCAGGCGAAGACAGCGAAGTTATAGTTAGTTGCCTAAGACAACGAATATAAAACTCAGGTACTTAGTTGAAGCAATTTTGAAATTAATTACGCTAAATCAGAAACAAAAATAAATAAATATTAATATTAAGAAAAATTATTGTTGCAAGAAGTAGACAGTTTAAGCATTTTTATACATACAAACATACATATATATATAAATATAAACTTTGTGCCAGTGAGACAATTTATTTTAGGTGTGGTGCTTCCGACACTGACTAAGCTTTTTATTAAAATTAAAATACTTTTTATTTTTGCATATTTTTCTTGTACGAAAAATGATAGTGCTTTCAAGCAGAGCTTGACACTGCCATTAAGCTTTTGACGAAATTCGCTAAAAACAAAAAGAAACTGTTTTTAGTAAATACAACAAAAAAAATTTAAGGACATAACAGTAAATTATTAATTATGTTTGGGCACAAAATGGACATTTTGCTTTTTACCACACTCATACTAATTTATTTTCAAGTATATTTTTATACGTCTGAAATATTTTTTTTTTTTTTACTTTTTTTGACTTTGAAATTTACAGCAAAAAATGAATGTTTAGTAGAAAATATAACGTTATGTGCTAAAAGTAACAAACACTTCAGTATATACTTTAATATATGTATGTATATACAGCATATAACATACATATATATTGCTATGTATATGCATATGTATTTGATATACATATGTTTGCATTATGCATATAATAAATTGTTTTAAGGTAACGCACGATATTCTTTAAGCATAAAATTTAGAATTTTCATTCAGCGAGACCAAGGATCGCTCTAAACAAAATTAATAATTAAAAACAAAATTAAAACAACAAACTGTTTCAAACCGAGCAACAAAAAGCAAGGTTGTCAAACAGTGGCCACACAAATTTGCTACAAATACACGTGGAAGTTTTCAAAATTTAAAATATATATATATTTATACTATACATATGTATATAAAACCATATTGTGGATATTTAAATTGAATTAATTAGTGATTGGCTCTTTAAGATAATTGGTGACGGGTTAGTTCTGAAAGAAACAACAATAATAAGGCAAAGTAAACGAAATTTATGCAAAAATGTTAAAAACTTATTATAATTTTTTTTTGTACAACAAATTAACACACCAACGAAACATTTCCTTAAAACATTCTTATAATTTACAATTTTTTGTTTATAATTTTATTTACAATTTTTGCAAAGCAAAATTTACAAGTTTATATACAGTTACAAACAAATTTTAACAATATAAAAACAAAAATTATTAATTTATAAAAGATTAATTAAAATATTTGAATTAATTTAAAAAAACTAATCGAAAAAAAATAATAATTGCAAAAACAAAATTTTTTTAAATATAAAATGGCAAAGCAATACNTTAAAATATTTGAATTAATTTAAAAAAACTAATCGAAAAAAAATAATAATTGCAAAAACAAAATTTTTTTAAATATAAAATGGCAAAGCAATACATGTGTATGTGCTTAGCCAAAATAAAAAACTAGTTTTTAGGCAGAAAATTTATTTTTGAAAATGTGAAAAATACTCATAATATTATACAGTTTAATAATGTGCTAAGCAAATTGAAGTGCAGTGTCATGGGTGTCAGCGTAAGTGCACAAAAACAAGAAAAAATGCAAGCAACCATTAACGCTGCATTTGAATTTGCCTATAGTCTATCTTATAAATAGAATAAAGTTTATTGTATAAATAAGGTCGTTGAAACAACCAATCAGAATGAAAATAAATATTGTATTTTGTAAAAACCAAGCCTGAATGAGTTTGAGTATTCCTCTGCACTGTGCAAAAATCGGCCACTTGTTTTTTTGTTAATTATTATTATTTTTTATACGTTTTTTGAGTTTATTGCAATTTTTGTTTTATGTATGTTTACTCATGTTAATTTTTCAGCACTTTTTAGCATAGCTTTGTTGCCCTATACGTATTTTGTTGTAGCTCTGTCTCTTATACACATCTAGATGTGTATAAGAGACAGCACATTTGATAAGTTATAATTTTTTTAATATACATTTTGTATATATTTTTTTGTTTAAATTTTAATTTTTCGGAATTTATTTTAAATACACATGTTTGATTTTTGATATCGCTTTATTCGTTTTTTGTTTTAATTTAAAATTTCTTATAAAAAACCCAGAAAACACACACATACACAGCTGCGCTATTGTGTGCTAATCATTTGTTCTTATTTTTTGTTTGTTTTTTTGTAAAATTTCAAATTTCTTAAGAATTTATGCATTTAATTTATATATGTATTTTTCTAATAGCAAATGTTTTTGTTATATTTACAGATGATGTGGCAATTTCAACTTCTTCAACTGGTGCGGCACTTACCTCAGCAGCCGGCCCCAACGTCTACAGCGCCGAAGCACAAACTCAGTCACAAAGTGAATCACGTATACGCGTGCGCGACTGGCTGATGCTGGCCGATCAGTCTATATTGCAGAAGACGATAGAGCAGCAACCAGGTATTTTCACTACCCACATATAAACACGAAAAATATACTCAACAAGTAATTTATATATTTCATTTTAAATATTTTTATAATTTTATTTTAGTTTTTATAAATGTTTATTAATATTTTATTAATTCTTATAAAATTGTATACATTTTTAATACTTTTTTGTGATTTATATAAATTTTAAGACTTTTTAAAAAAATATTATTATATAAAATTTATAATTTTATTTATATATACATATTTAAGTTTTTTTTTTATGTAATAAAATATGTTGGTGTAAGCAAAAGTACTTATGTACTCACATTTACATATACATTTTTATATATTTTTAATTATAATTATTTTAAACCTTTGTTGTTGTTTTTATCATTAATTTTTTTACTCTCTTTGCAGTCTTTATTTCGTTTTGTTACCACATACTACATTATTCTTAATTTTTTTCCTCTTTAACTGAGCTTTTTCGTTGGTCGCAACGATCACTTTCAACACTACAAACATTTAACAAGACAAAAACAAATCATAAACAAATTAATATTGCATATATACTAACCTTACTTATCTCTCCCTTTCTCTTTCACGCTGCATTTTTGAATTTGCAAAAAACCTAAAACAAAAAACTTATAACTCACCCAAACTAACCGTCAGACCAAACACTAACCACAACCACTAATGCGGCCACTAACACCGTTACCGCGGCTACGGCACTAAGCAATGTCGATATGAACGCACATACCCTATCAAACGCAACGCCTGCAATTGTATCGTCCTCAATGGCGACAACAACAGCAACAGCGGCCAATGCAACGTCCAATAAGCAGCCGACATTGATGCGCATCGGCAGCATTGGACGCACCACAATAACCTGCGTGGCACCGGCGAGCACTGGCGATGATGGTGAGATGAATTTGTTGAATAACGGTAATATGGGCGTAATATCGGCGGCAGCCTTAGCAGCTGCGGGTGTAGAACTCGAATCGGTGGACGAAAGCATGACCGAGGTGCTGGTGAAAATCGAGAATTCCTCATCCTCAACACAGGAGGAAGATGACGAGATGGAGGCGGAAGGCGAGAATGAGGGCGAAGGCGAACTCGCCGAGGACGATGATGATGATGATGATGAACAACAAACGGGTGATAATGGCAAAGAGTCCGATTTCAATTATGAACTAAAGCTGTCCAGCCCCATGTCGTGGGCTTTTGACACAGTGAAAATCGAGAATGAGGAGGAATTCGAAGATATACTCTCCGGCGAGCAGGACACCACCAATACCGAGGATGAGGATGATCTGTTGACCACAGCAGCAGCCACAACCAAACAAGCTGCCGCCGGCTCAACCGAAAACAATCCACGTGTAAACGCGAATGTTACCGAGTGCGCCGAGTTGCCGGCAAGCACACGTGAGGCAGCAACGAATCGCGCCGAGAATGCTTCGCATAAGGGCGGTCAGCAGCGTGCCGCTGGCAAGCGACGTACACTGTTGGAGCGCAAAGAGACGACGACATTGCTGAGCAAGCAACAACAACAATTGCTTTTGGAACAACAACAACACTTGCAACATCTGCAATTACGACCGACGCAACAGATGCTGCAATTCAAGCTCGCCTCCATACCAGCAACCATCACCTCAATAACAACAACAACAACAACAGCGGCTACGGCTCAAAAACACAACAGCAATGGTGTTAAGGACACCGCAAGCGTTGGTGTTGGTGGTGGTGTTGCTGCTGCTGCTGCTGGTGATGCTGTTGGTGGCATTATTGTTGGTACCGCTGGCAACAGCGAACCGCATGCGAAACTGCTTACCGCAAGCAATAGCGGTAAAAGTAGCGCCAATGCCGGCGATTTTAAATCGTCGGTTTCCGATGATAAACGCTATCGCATTCTAGTGCAAAATCAGCGTATGCGCAAGGAGTCGCTCGAACACTCGGAGGATATGATTTATAATGCGGACATCGAGAAGCCGTGGGTGTGTCGCAATTGCAATCGCAACTACAAGTGGAAGAATAGTCTTAAGTGTCATTTGAAGAACGAGTGCGGCCAACCGCCACGCTACTTTTGCAGCAAACTCTGCGGCTATGCCACGAATGTGCACAGCAATTTGAAGCGTCACTTGAACACGAAATGTCGCGACCGCATGGAGGAGGATCAAAAGAACAACACCAGCACCTATACGCTCGTATTCCAGCAAAACGAATAAACAGCCGACCGGAAGCACGCGCACACGAACCGACGTTGCAGTTTTGTATAGTATATAGCGTTCGGCCACAGTTCGCACACGCTCGTTTTTATTAGCAAGTTGGCAAAATTTGCATATTTAACGTATTTATTTATGTATGTATTAGGCGTTTTTTAATTTATTTTTATTCGTAAAAATGGAACACTCCTTCATTTCGAATTTAAGTTCGGATTTAGTTTGAAATTCAAAGCGACGCTAGTCAAAATTAACGGCACATATGAAATATGTTTGCAGAAACGTTCTTAAAAATATACATATATTTATATAGATATATTGTCGTTCTTATATATTTATATATTTTAGTGCGTAAATTTTCATTTAAAAAATATTTTTTTAATTTAAAACTTTTTTCATATTTTTGTTGTTTTTTTTTTTGTTGATTTGTTACTTAAGTATTTATTTTATAGTGCGAGAGTCATGAGAAATAGTTTCTCACGCTCTTATACGTGCGTATACATACATACATATAGTCGTGTGTATATGTATGCATATATGTAGGAGCAACGCAAAAGTCATTAATGAAACCTTTTCTAGTCAAATGATGATTAAAAGTCTTATAGAAAATTTAATTACACATAGATATTTATTCTAGCATATGTATGTACGTACGTATTTAACATTGCAATTTATACACATATACATATGTTGCTGTCATTTTAGTTTAATACAAATTTAATTGTTTTTTTGACGCAAAAAAAAAATATAT